GAGCCGGTTCCACGAAGCATGCATAGACCCCATAACAACGGGTATTGCTAGTCAGAGCACCATTATTATGGGGCGTGCAATACGAATCCTGATGATATGTAAATCACTACCATTAGTCTCCACATAAGTTTGTAGAAATAACTTTTTCAGTGAAATTGCTTCTTCAAGTATAGCCCTGTACTATTTAGGTAGAAGATGGTACTGGTCCATTGATCTATGCTACTAGAATAGTAGATCTATTCGGAAACTTTAGACTTGTTTTGATGAGACTAATCAACCAATAAAATCTGATGTGGGGGTTAATTGTTTAGACTAACCGGTCCCATCGTGGTACTCAGAAAAATTATTTCAGAACTTCTGAAAGATTGAGTTTGGCTGTGAAAAAATAATGGGCTTGGCACGAAAGGTACGAGGTTATATATGGTACTTTAACCGTCACACATGACTCATCGTCGAGAGCTTCACTATGCTGAGGTCGCTATTCTGTCGAGACACCCGCAACATTCTTACTCAGGCGCTAACAGTATGACTTAGAGGTTGGCATTCAATAATAATAAAAAAACAGTTAGACAGTGCGAGATTTTATTCATCAAATTTTTATTTTTACAAACTCTACTCTTTCAACTAGAATTTCGATTTCAACGTACATAAATCCAGCTTCTTACTTCGACTTCTCTTCTATCCACCTGATACTGCACAACTCTCCCTTCTTTTTGCTGTACTCCTTTATCTGTGTGTTATATTCTTATATTCCCACAATTTACCTTAATTTAAGTGGTCAGTATGAATTTTATCTTGACTTACTACTGTATTGACTACTTCAACATGACAGGTTAAGTAGTGCTTTGGTTATATATATACACTTGCCACACTGCTGCCTTTTTCTCTCTCTCTTCTCCTTTTCAGAACCCCATTCACGGTGGGAAATCCTTGGCGACTCTAGGGAACATGCACCCTAGGTACATGACTGTCTGGATCACAGCTCGTATCAAGCGCGTCCCATATGACCTTTCCCAACAAATTCACTATTGATCTCGCCAAATCGCCAAAAGAACCTATTGTGCATCTTCCTTCCTTATTTGTACTCTACTATTGAAAATGTGGCTGTATAATACTGTTTCTGTCAGTGACATGGTGTAAATATGCAATCAGAAACTGACTCTTATACTTAATTTAACTGCTATAACTTTACAGTAGTTGTGAAAGCATTTGTGACAATTTGATCTAGCCTGTAAACTGGCGTGACTCTTGTAACGTAGTTATTTGAGAATAAATTATTATTATTATTATTACTGTCTTAAATGAGTCTGAAAAGTGGAGCTCATAACTGGTGGCCCTTTTTTCAATATCGTCAAAAGTTGTAGAGTCCTCAGTATACGACAGTCTATGAGACTGCTTGATTTCCATTGACATCTTTTATATACAGCAACACGATTTCATGAGGGAGTACTTCTGTAAAGTTAACTTATTGTCTGTCCCAGACAGATATGCAACTATCCTTGATTGGAAGGAGAAGGCTGATGTGGTATCTCTGAACTTCTTCGTGGCTCATAATAAGGCTAGTAAGAAATGTCTCATAGATACGCTTAAACTATCAGGTATCAAGCTACAATTAATAGAATGGTTCATTTCATATTGAAACAATCGATTTCTGAGACCAGGTTTAGCTTAATTTCTCCTCAGACGAAGGGATTTCTTGCTGAAGAACTCTGTACAACAAATGCATCGCAGTGTGTTTACCGAGGAACTGTGATTGTGTACGAAGACGGAAAACTATTAGTCCTCAAATCTGGAACTACACCCGTATATCATTCTAAACGACCACTAATTTAAGAAACCTTACCTACTGTTGAACAGCAAATACACTGTCTTCAGGAGATGTGTAAACTTTTCAAGATGGGCTGCACAAATAGAGGTAGGCGAAAACCCCAACCCATCGGTACGGTTCTTCACTGCTCGATCTGCTCACTAAAGTAAATGTGGCTCAAGGTTTTTAGTAAGTCAGATTTATCACTATAATACCCACAAATCCCAGTAGCCGATAAAAGAGAAGAGATTCTCATTATTATTACTCACAAGGGATCATTCTGATATAACATGCTTACCCCTTGTAGCACGTTGTAATTTGAAAGTAAACATTATTATAAATAATAACTGATTGCCCTTCGGATTCGGGAAGGCACTATCAATAGTTCAGTAAGTTATGAATACGCTTTTACAGGATTTTCCTGAAAGGACAGTTTATTTGGATGATATTATAATCCTAGGAAGAGGTAAAATGGACTCACCAAAGAAACATGACCTGGAGCTAACTTATATTGCTGAATATGGATTTTGTCTCCTAGCAGAAACGAGTGACATTTGCATACAGCAATGCGATATCTCAGCTTCACTTTATACGAACAGGACTAAGACCACTGAGGCTGTAAAACCCTTCCAAGATCAACCGACATTCCTACTCTCCAATCATTTATGGCACTATTTAGTCATTATGAAACTTCTCTTCATTATCCTTATCGCTCTCAAGCTCCACTAAACAACCTACTAGTGAAGAATGCCTAATAGAATTGGTCCATAGAATGTCAGATAGCAAGCAACTCATAGCTTCTAACCTCTCATGTACTATGGTCTTCCCGTCCCATTTTTCCGTTCTACCACTTGCTTCTTTCTCTCTATTCCTCTTTATTAGTACTATACCCTACACCTCAAATATAAGCCTTGTTATTCCTGAAGACTTGGATGATTTACCCAAGAGCCTGTCATTTTATTATTTGACAAATCTCAACAAGAATATCATTACACAATTACCTCATCAATTTTTGTTATATACAGGCCTGGAATTAATTTGCTTTGATTAGGAACGAGCAGTCGTTTGTCGCACCTTAACTGATATAACTCGCGTCAAATTTTGTTTTGTACATTCCAGGGTATGAAACACTATGTACAGTTTCATGTGAAAAGTATTAACCCTCTATAAAAAGCCAGTGCATCTTGTAAACAATTCATCTAACTAAACAACCTTATTACTGTATATGTGCTTGAATTTTTAACATTTTGATCCTGCTTGTAAACTGGCATGTCTCGTGTGGCACATTGTTATTTCAGAATAAATGATTAGTGATATCATCACTGTGGTTTTGAATCATTATCTTTTGAATCATTATCTCACCTAATTTCAGACGAATTCAAAAGATAAGTCCACCTAACAGCATCTGAACAAACTGGTGCGAACTCTGAAAGTGGTAACATGTTTGACGTGTTATAGCTTCCTACGGACTGGGAGAAAGGAACGAAAACGGTGAGACATTTGCAAACTTATGTGCCTTTAACAAACTGGTCATCGGCGACACAAAATTCCCACACAAACACATACACAAAACTACATAGATTTCCCCGGATTACACTACTCAGAACCGAATCGACCATATCTGTATCAACAAAACGTTCAGAAGGACCGTGGAGGATGTGAGAACGAAGAGAGCAGCTGATATAGCCTCAGATCACCACTTGCTGATCGCCAAAATGAAACTGAAAGTAAAGAAGCACTGGACAACGGGGCGGATAACATCACACATGTTTAGTACGGCCTTTCTACGGGATACCGTGAAACTCAACGAATTTAAGATAACCCTGAGCAATTGGTTCCACGTCTTGCACGATCTAATCATTGAAGAGGAAAACACATCAAGGATAATTGAAAAGGGATCAAAGAGGCAATCACTTTAACATTTCAGGAGATTCTGGAGCACAGGAAGTTCAACCACAAGGAATGGATCTCTGTTTTTGCTCTTGATAAAATTGAAGAAGGCAGGAACAAGAGGGTAGTAATCAATGTCAGCCGAACAAGAGCAGAGAAAGTTACCGCACAAGTTGCATACACAGAAGCACACAAGGAAGTGAAGAAGAGCATCAAACCCGACAAACGAAAATATGTGTAAGATCTAGCAATGACGGCGGAAAAGGCTGCAAGAGAAGGAAACATGAGACAATTGCACGAAACAACAAAGAAGCTGGCCGGAAACTATCGTAAACCAGAACGACCAGTGAGAAGCAAGGAAGGCAAAGTAATCAGCAACACTGAAGAACAAAGAAATAGGTGGGTAGAGCACTTTAAGGAACTCTTGAATCGACCAGCTCCACTGAACCCACCGAAAGTTGAAGCAGCATCCACGGACCTCACAATAAATATTGGCGCACCTACGATTGAGGAGATCAGTATGGCCATCAGACAAATCAAGAGCGGCAAAGCAACAGGACCAGACAACATTCCAGCAGAGACAATGAAAGCAGATGTGGAGGCAACTGCGAAAATATTTCACATCCTCCTCAAGAAGATTTGGCTTGAGGAGCAAGTACCATCAGATTAGAAGGAAGGATACCTCATCAAAATACATTTCTACAGTTGAAAATTATCTGGAACTCCAAACAACTTTCAACCAAAACCAAAATCAGGATTTTCAATACAAATGTCAAGACAGTTCTACTGTATGGAGCGGAAACTTGGATAACTACCAAAGCAATCATCCAGAAGATAAAAGTGTTTATTAGCATTGGTCTACGCAAAATGCTTCGTATTCGTTGGCCAGACACGATCAGCAACAACGAACTGTGGGAGAGAACAAACCAGATTGCGGTGGAGGAGGAAATCAGGAAGAGGCGGCGGATGTGGATCGGACACGCACTAAGAAAAGCACCGAACTGCGTCACAAGACAAGCCCTCACATGGACTCCTCAAGGTAATAGGAAAAGAGGAAGGCCAAGGAACACATTACGCCGAAAAATAGAGAAAGATATTAGACGTATGAACAAAATTTGGACAGAACTAGAAAGGGAAGCCCAGGACAGAGTTGATTGGAGAAAACTGGTGAGCGGCCTATGCTCCACTGGGTGTAACAGGCGTAAGTAAGTAAGCTACCTAATTACAATATCGTTGTTCTTGTTTGAATACTTCAAATCTAGATTTTTGGCCTTGAAAGATTTTAGAAATATATTTACCTGCGCAACAGTGTGGTGTTGGGGTCGTGATGGGCTTGGAATGTTACACAGTGCTGGAATGTATAGGAGAGGGCTCATTCGGACGCGTTTTTCGCGGGAGACGAAAGGAGACAGGACAGGTGGGGTTTATGCATCTATAGTGAACGTGTATACTCATACAGATTGTAGCCATGAAATTTATACCTAAGGTTGGGAAGAGCGAAAATGCTCTTAAAAACCTCAAGCTTGAAATTGAAATAATGCGATCAATGCATCATACTAACATAATAGAAATGCAGGACTCATTTGAAACGGAAAGAGAGGTTACTTAGACTCAGCATTTTTAACATTTCCACGAATTTGCACTTTAGGTAGTCGCAATTACTGATTACGCCGAAGGAGATCTTTTTCAAATAATCGAGGATGATGGCCGTCTTTCTGAGGAAACGGTAGCTGAATTCTCTTTTTTATGTCCTTTTCAGGTTAGGTCTGTGGCTTGTCAGTTGGTATCTGCACTTTATTACCTTCATGCCAACCGTATTCTTCACAGGGATATGAAACCGCAAAACATTCTTCTAGGCCAGGACGGTGTTGTTAAACTTTGTGATTTTGGATTCGCTCGAGTCATGGGTTGGAACACTTTAGTTCTCACATCTATAAAGGTTTTAGTTTTGTTCCTGTTTACTAATACTTATCTTTTGTAGGGAACTCCCTTGTATATGGCGCCAGAAATTATCGAAGAAAAACCGTATGACCATACAGCTGATCTATGGTGAGTCCTACAGTCTATTAATTACACATTCAGGGCATTGGGTTGCATATTATATGAAATGTTCGTCGGTACTCCTCCATTTTATACAAACAGTATCTTTCAACTCGTCAAGATGATTACCAAGACTTCTATTCAGTGGCCTCCTGATATGTCTACTGTTTTCAAAGATTTCCTGGCCAGGTTGTTGCAAAAAGATGTACGACAACGTTTGCAGTGGCCAGATCTTTTGGATCATCCGTTTGTCTGCGATAAGATTGAAAGTAATGTGACAGGCTATTTGTTGTTTAGTATGAATTTTCGTATTAATTTATGTCTGTCAAAGCTTATTAATAAACTGTAGCAGTTAAAGGCTCGTAGCTAATCATCTATGTAAATATAGTTTTAAAATCCACATCGTCATCATGCTGATAAGTAGGAAAAAGTATATATTCCAAGACTATAAATGTCCTGGTGACAAATAATTTACAGCACAAACTGAATCTTGATTTGTACATATTATACTATCTCATTTCAAGAGGATGTAGCAACTATGGAATTCATAAGTTCCAGTTATGGTATTCGTTGTTTTTTCAGCATTCGACATGTATCAAATGTTGAAAGGTAAACCATCTAAAAGTCTTCCTAATCATTTTAAGTGAATTCTAGATTCCTAAAATATATACAATTTTTTTACTCGTTGAATTAGAATTATCAAATAAAAACAATCAGTGAACAGCATTCGTTCAAGTGTGTTGCGATTTATCACCAGCTTACAACATATTTAGTTTATAAGATTCCTTATTCTGAACTGGTTTTATAATTCAGTATTTACTATAGTCTGCTGTAAAGGTATACAACATTCCAAATAGTTTTATACTGAACTTGTCTCTACTACTGTTGGATTTGAATCGACTATTTGATCTCTGTGCAAATGTTTTATGGCAACTTAAACTGATGTTCCAACGTACAAAGTTCTACTTCGTCGTATCTGCCTACGCTCCCACTGACTACAGTTCAGACGAGGTGAAAGATGAGTTTTACAGAAAGCTTTCAGACCTCCAAAAAAGGGCGCTCTGATATGGTAATAATGGCTGGTGACTTAATGCTCAAGCAGTTAGACTACGTGAGCAGGAAAGACATCTTGGTGAATGTTATAGTGTCGCGGCCGATCGAATAGATAATGGCGACCGTCTTCTGCAGCTATGCTCAGTTAACCGCCTATTCCTAGCAAACACTAACTTTAAGCATAAGCTGAAACACCTTTTGACATGGCGACCCCCAAAGCCGACCCAACGATGGACCTAACTAAATCACATCGCTGTAATCCATCGGTGGAGAGGCTCTGTTGATGACTGTCGCTTACGTACGAAGTTCTGCGTTGTATCTGTCTTAGAATATGCCGATGACATAGTCCTACTTGGTGAAGACGCTGACAAAATGCAGAGTCTTCTGACCACCCTAGGCAACAATGCAAGCGTGTTCTGGATGCGGTTTTCCCCGTCGAAATGCTAAATTTTGCATCAAGATTGGGTTGCATCGGCACCTGAACTAGTGATGGGGAGTGAAGTAGTCGAGCTTGTAGACCGCTTTACTTATCTGGGGAGTCTCGTCAGTGCTGATGGCCTGGTGACTGATGAAATCTCGGCACGGATACAGAAGGCTCGGTTGGCTTTTGCAGACTTGCGTCACTTATGGCGTAGACGAGATATCCGTTTGCTGACCAAAGGACGAGTGTACTGCGCAGCAGTTCACTCCGTCCTACTTTATGGCTCTGAAACATGGCCGGTCAAAGTAGAATATGTTCGTAGGTTACTTGTTTTCGATCATGGGTGTATCCGAAGCATTGCTCGAGTATCATAGGACAACCGAGTAAGCAGTGCTATAGCCAGGGAACGAGCACGAGGCTGGGGTGGCAGATCAGTAGACTAAGTAGTGAAACTTCATCAGTTGAGGTGGTTGGGACATGTGTTACGTATGCTTAACCACCGACTGCCTCGACGAGCTATGTTTTGTGGTGTAGGAGTAGGTTGGAAGAAAGTTAGGGACGGCCAAACCAAAACATGGCAGAAATCCATTAAGTCACTGACAAGTGGACTGAGTCATTTTGGTAGATGTAGACTACCTGGTTGAGGTCCGCGAGATGATAGTCACCGGTGGTTAGAGACCTTGAACGATATGGCTCAGAATCGTTCGCAATGGCGCAGGTGCATCCACTCTTTGTGTTCTATGAAATTCTAAGCTTCATTCCTCATCATCTGTACTTTTCTCCTTCTAAATTTATTTTACTGAATTATACTTCTCGAATCAAATTTTCGAACTCTAATCTTCTCCATTACTGCTAATACTTCTACAATGTCTACCACTATGGTATTTGATTTGACAGTTGCATCTCTGTGCTTATGCGTTATCGTAACCCGAACTTTTGTACTAATGTACGAAGTTCTAGTTTGTAACGGATTGACTGACTGAAACGTTGCATGATATATACTTCTTTAGTAAATAAACCTTGTTGAACTACCCTTCAAAGTCTCAATACAACATTTTTTTATCAGTTAGTCATAAAGTTTTTTGAAATAGTCACTTGATTGATAGATACTGTCAAGCTGATACAGGTATTCCAGTAATAAAACTTGGTGATTGTGTCAGTTATTTTAATATTTGAAAATTTTATTGTATATTTTTTGCAGTTTCTCCGGGCGTACGTCTTCTTTCTAGTCCATTAACTCAACCACTAACCCCAAGTCAGCTGGCAGAAAAAGAAAGGCAAAGATTACTAATGCTGAGACCAAATGGGTCAAGAGTACTGAGACGTGCTGGAGTTGATCAGTTTAGTAAACTTAAGCAGGTAAAAGAAGAAGATAAACTTGACGACTCTCTAGACCAACGCCGTGGAAAGTCTGTTGTCAAAGAAGTAGCAGGATCAAATCAAAAGGGAAATGTAGTTGATAAAAGACATTCAAAACAGTTATCAGATAAACCCCCATCTTCGAAATATGGTGATAAAACGAAAGTAACAAGGCCCAGACCACATACAAAGGCTATCGAAGAACAGGACGACCTGATAAAAAGACCGAGTTCAGCAGAAACTGGCCTGGTAAGGTACATGAAGACTTCTATTGTCCTTTTTACTGCATTTAGTTCAAAACGTCAGGAAAACATGTCAACCGTTGTCCATTGAGATAGATGGTTTACCCGTTGACTTTTTATTACTCTGAAGTATATTCTGTCAATATAAATCCCCAACTTTAATCCAATTAGTCCTTAGACTTTGTGGTTTTCTTAGTCGAATGGTTTTAGTAACGGTTACATAATAGATATGGCTCCATGCGTAGCACATAAACGCACATATGATCGTTATGTTTGATTTCGGTTTCATGTTTTGGTGAGTAAAAAATTAGTTCTGACAAAAATGACGTACGTGTTTTTTAACGATGTACAGTGAAAAGACTTTTCCTAAAAGCTCTGACTTCGTATGTATACCAGCTAGTTTATTTGTACGATAACTTAAGTGATTATCAAATGCTAACTGGGCACAAAATGTGATATACATATATATAAATGGGCAAGTCAATATTAAGATAGAAAATACTTTATACAGATTATGAAAATGGTCTACAGAAAGTCAGAATAATACAAATACTACCTTGTTATGCGACAGATTCTATACTGTTCATCGCTTAATGCCAGAAGTTTACTCGATACCTACCTATCCATCAAACTTTGTAGAAATCAAGAAACACACATCCGCGTAAATCCTGTAAATTATACAGAGCCAAGATTATCACAAGTTGTCTACTGGTCAAGTATAATAGCTTGGTGTATGCGATTCTGACAGGCCATTAAACCACATAGAAAACCCACCTTGATGAGCCATCTAAGTATGGAATCATTCGCTCATTGCCTGAATTTTTTCAAATTCAATTTTCATTTGTCTATGTACCAGTCTATTGAAATAGATAACAACTAAATTAAATAAATGTAATCGCTTTTAATTTCCGTGTTTCTATAAATGATTATAATACAGCCATTCATTTGCCAACTTCATGTGGCTCACTGTTTTTTATAGGGTGAGAATGAATCAGCTACCCAAAGTGGTTCTACCAGACGACCTCAAAGTTGCGATGCCTTAGATTCCAAAAAGGTATGTTTTATATTTAGTTCTTGTCAAACTAGTGTCTAGAATTTGTTAATTTGTGAATTTATCTGACTGAAAAAGATTGATAAGAAGTAATTCAGCATTGATTTATTATTGAATTTCACTAAAATAACCAGTCTCTGTACGGGAATATCGTACTGCTTTAGGTACTCAAATGGATTTCGCGTTTTTGAATTACTTGCGTGGTAATTCTATTTGATAATTATAGTTCTCATTTTCTGTTGATTACTCACATTTGGAGATCCCTTTTTAAATAAAAACAAAAGTCCTGATACCTAGTTGACCAATGAGTTTCCAATTATTTTGGCAAAGTATCTAGATATCAGTCTTATAGAAAGACTAGAAGTTCTTTCCGTGCAAGTGGCATTTATTATGGAGTAGAATGACCTTCCTCTCAGTTGACAGTACATACGTTAATATACATTCTGAGTGACTGATAGAGAAACTGGATTGTCGAGTATTATATGGCCATTAACTGCAAAAATCGTCTGCTGAAGGTCGTTCACACCTTGTGTTCCCGGAAACATTGGTTTTCGTCTTATGCCAACTAAACCCTTGGAGCCTAAGTATGGCTTAAAGGATAAACACGATAATACCCATAACTAATTTGTATTCGATTAGGAGGAACCGACTAAATTATTATTGTCAGATAAAGAACAAGTATATGTTCATGATGTTTGAAGTGATTTTGTATTTCTATCATATGTGTTTTAGAAAAAGAGTGAAATAAGCACCACAAAAGCCTATGTTTTAGATTGAATTACAATGTCAACGTAATTTTCAACCTAACTCATCATTATTAATGTATGATCATCTGGGGTCTTTACCGATTATCTTCACTGTAATTACCAAATATTGGAAAAAAGATAAAATACGTCGCTTTCATAATAGTGGTCAGTAGTATTGTACTCGCAGATGTATAGAGCTATGGGTCAACGTTATGAAGGTTAAGTTTCCAGCAACTGTTGTAGGTTTGAGTGTATCTCTAACGATAGGAGTCTTGTTATTTTACAAAGTTACTACCAAACAGCATATATGGGGTTTTAAGCACCTTAACCTGATAGATCTAACTCTATAGAATTATGTTAGGTCTCTTAGTGATATTCATTCATTGATCGGCTAATCCTCAGTATTTACTTTTGTAAAATTTACGATCTTATTCATAACATATACTTTTGTTCGTGTGTAAATATTCAGAAAACCTCAGAATGGTCTCATGTTGATGACATTCCAGTTGAGCCTCCAACCCCAAGAGAAAATCGAATAAGTACTGATTACGACCGCGAGAACGCAATTCGAGAGTATTTACAACAAAGCCATCAGGAACATTGTAATAAAAATAGCAAACAACTGTCTGCAGAAAAAGATGATCTCCTGGTAAGCAGAAAATGAAAACTAAAAATCTGTTTAGCTTAATATGAATATAGAATATGTTGGTGTATCATAGAATAATATTCTCTTCAGACATAGCACCATGAACAACATTGGGGTTATTATAATCAATTTTCACTAGTCAAACGGAGGTAGAGAGAACACTTTCAACCCTAGTCAATTGATCAGATTACTATATTCAGTTGGATTAGTGCATTTTTTCTGTTTTTATAAATACTTTTTGTTATTTAACCTAATCTTCCAAAGGTCGCTTTATATTTGTTAAAACTAATGATTATTGTAGGTTAGTATGTTTCATCCAACAAATAAGAGTAGTTAGAATATCTGGATTTTATTAAACTAATTTAATGCATAGTTGACGACTAATCTACCAGAAAAAATTCTAGATCTGGACTGTTCACGTCTTCGCAACATGTTCAACTGTTAATAATTTCACAGAAATTTATTTATTGACAAATGATTCGCAAAACAAAGTGAATTCATTATACTGTTTGTACGGTTTTCATGAGTTAGAAGCAGCCTAAAGTTCAAAAGAGTAATTTAATTAAAAACAAACGTTTAACATATTTCATTTGGTGAAGTTTTGACATAGGATCGGATTATCGTAATACATGTAAGATAAAGCAAGATACAGTATGAAATTATATTGATTTTTATTTCCATGTCGAAAGACAACGTGAAAACATCTGATCATAGAAAATATGTTAAAATTTTGATCTTAACTATATTACTCTACGTAAATTTAGGCTATTTGGGGCTGATGGAAAACTCTAAAATATAAGGAAATCATTTTCTGTAAATCTTGTTCCCGTTAATTTTTTGATGGTACCGAAATATACTGTCATAGGCTGGAATTTTATGACTCATCGAACAGGCTCTTGAATGCTGATCGATAGGTGGAACGCAATGTACCTGAATGATGGCTAAAAACGAAATTTGATTATTAATTTATACGTCCGAATAAACTGTTAGCCAATCAAAAGCCACCTGCTAGAAGAATACTTTTTCTTCGTTAAAAGTACATGCTTGTTAACGAAACGATTAAAAGTCGACCAAAACATATGCATAGATTTTATAGGTTACTCAATCGCCAACGGGATTCGAACTTATCTATCAGGCATACCCAATATGCCATCTACTTCCTAATTATTGATGCTTTTCATTAATTGATTCGGAATTCTCAAACCACTCATGATTGCAGCAGAACCACAAAAGTCATGGTACAGTATGCCTTTTACTTAGTTCACAACGGTCGGATAAGAAATCAAAATATACTACTCTTATGTTATTGTATGATGATTAGTTAGTTATCACTCGAAGTTAAGTGACATGGAAAGAACAGTTTATATTAAGTGCCGACGACAACTTTGTTTAGATTTCAACTGTCTAAACGTTATTCTTGAAATGATTTCATCTGTTTGTGCTTAGTTCATTGTTTTGTAGTGTAAAACTCAATTTTCTATAACTGAACATACTATTGTTAAATAGCATTATTAAATGAAGTTTTGTGAATTCATTAGTCATTTGAATTCATATCTTCAGAACAATGAGCAAACATCTGATTATACATTGTCGTATTTAAACTAATTCCTACTGGATTATCTAGACAATAAGTGATCAACCATGGTAATTGAATAATGTAAGCTTGTTTTTCTCAACTAGAAATTGTTCAAGATGTATACATTTCTAGCATCCTGGACAAAACATGTTAAATGAGAAATATTTTGATTGCCGTTTTGTCATTTTTAGGATTGTCAGCAAAATGCCATTCTTCAAACTTTATTTATAGAATAATAATAAAACCTGTTTGATGAATATTTATTTACTATTTCAGTTTATATTTATAACCGTTTCTCACTTTTTGTAGAAATGATGTTTGACCGAAGTTCATATTAATCCATAACTTTTTTAGATCGATAATATACAAAATGACCAGTTGGTGGAAAAAAATGACACAAAACATTGTCATTCAACTGTTAGAAAACAAAGTTCACTTGATGCGCTTGATTCAATGTCGAAATCAAATTGTGCAGTTGGGTATACTGGTTGGTGGTTGAGAGCTAGTGCAGAAGCCTGGGAACGTTTAGCTGATGCTACAGATATTGAGTTTCCTCATCCACCTGGTTGTGAAGCAGAAAACCCTGGACATTCTTCAGAAGTCAGACAACCGAAACGAAGAACAGCTCTAAGTTTACTATGTGACAGTGAATTCGGCCAAAGGCTATCATTGAGGTTAGCATCGGCCTCAGTTATTGATAACAAGGCTTCATGGGAGTCTATTCACTCTTGGGCGTCAGCTTTAACTGAAAATGATTTATCGAAATTTCATACTCGTCCAGTTTCTGCTGGGACTGTCGCACCAAAAGAGTCGTCAGGTGATGTAGTATCGGGACTCGAAGCAGCGGCCTATTTACGAACTTTACTTCGTTTAGTCACAAATCTGATTACTGTCAAATGGTGAGTAGTCTTTTATTCTATTTTCTTGAGTGAAACTGCAAATATCACATCCTATTTTATAATGTGCCTCATTTTTCGTCGTGTAGAGATGGTCATTTTGTCTTTTGGCTATATTATATGCATCGGCATGACACAAATACTTACATTTACAACCCTGAGAAGTCTCATGAAACATTTTAAAGTTTCAGATTTTGAACTGGTCTTCAATTTGTAAGTATAATCATATAACTCTAGTTTAAAGATCAATGCAACAGTGAATATAGTTTAGGGATCAGACTATTAGAGATGAAAACAAAGTTCTAGTCACCGGTACACCTACTTATATTTGGATAACCGGAGAACAGCATTGATTCACCTTCACACGTTGATTGGAACTTAAAATTGAATGAGTACATAACTTTGTGTTTGGTAAATGGGTTACCTTCAGTTGATCGTGGAAACGAACCACACCTTTTTACATTCCATTCATAAATGACAAGTAATCAAAACCTATACAAATTAATATCTGTCATCAAATATTTATTTTGTCTTGGAAAATAAATGATACGATTATTACTGCATTACGTTTAAAATGTAAAAAATTTTTCCGTAGAATATATTCACTATTTACCCACTATCTTTACGCTTTATCACACGTAGAAATACACACAGAAACTAACTGGTGAATAATGCTTTACGCACACATTTGTGCAGGTTTATAAGTAAATCAGTTAGTAAATCTGTGTGATATGAATCTGTTGTATCATGATTTCAAAAGATCAATATATTTTATTGATTTTATGTTTAGTAAAAGTTTATCGATAATCAATATACACGAAATGAATAGTTGAAAACTAGAAATTTTGTACGTGAAGTAAAACAAGAAACTTATTTGTTTATATTAAATTAAAAACAACATTTTGTTGTTTTTTTTAGTGTAAAATTTCATTTAAAATACAACATTTTGTTTGAACACGTTATTAAAGGGATTCGTTTATCAAATCCAAGTGGTTTAGTTCAAACATAGCACTAAAATTAAACAATCGGCACTCGGCTTCACTTAAATTGTGGGCATCAATAATAAGATGTAAACACATTCGATTAACCAGTTCCTAATCAGTGCCTGTTGTGTGAGGAAATCTCAGCACGGATATAGAAAGCTCTATTGGTTTTTGCCATTTTTCGTTACTTATGGCATAGGCGAAATATCCGTGTGATGACCAAAAGTGGTTCGCTCCGTCCTACTGTATAGATGCGAAACACGGTCAGTCAGAGTAGAAGATATTCCTAGGTTGTTATTATTTGATTATAGATGTCCGCGAAGCATTGCTCGTGTATCCTGGCACAACCGTATAAACAATGCTGTCGCTAGGAAACGAGTATTAGGTAGGTACGGCAGATCGATAGATGAAATATTGAAACCTCATCAGTTGAGGTGGCTGGGACATGTGTTACGAATGCCTAACCACCGACTGCCTCTTCAAGCTATATTTTGTGGTGTACGAATAGGTTGGAAGAAAGCTAGGGACGGCCAAACCAAAACATGGCAGAAATCTATGAAGTCAGTGACAAGTGGACTGAGTCATGTTGGTAGATGTAGACTACTTGGTTGGGGTCCGCGAGACGAAAGTCATCAATGGTTAGAGACCTTGAACGACATGGCTCAAAACCGTTTACAATAGCTCAGGTGCATTTACTCTTTGTGTTCTCTCAAATCCTAAACTTTTTAATTCTTCGTCACTTTGTCTTTTTTTGTCTATTTCACGAGATTCTACTTCTTGAATAATGTTTTCTAATCTTAACCTCTCCGACTACTTCTAATACCTCTACTACCTTTACTACTATTGGATTTGAACGGACAATACATCTCTGTGCTAAGGTGGTATGGCAACATGAACTGATGTATGTACGTACGAAGTTTTACGTTGGTATTGATTGATTGATTGCTATTGAATGGTAAAAATGTTGAAATTTAACTTATTCATAAGTATTATTAATACTGTATAGGTTTACTTATCTTTCTCATAGATTGTTTGATTGTTCATAATATCCAATGAAATTTTCGTTGAAAAAGAAATATTTCATCGACTCCCTTCTTTGTATTTTACATTCTCATTTCAGCGATGTTTCAATTATTGTACAGTTTTGTGAAGTGACTGAGTTACCAGTGCAATTAATTAAATTAATGCAATCATTTCTGAATTTTACGAAATTACATGAAGTAAGACATAAATAATATATATTTTCTTGACTAAACTACGTATTGTTATTATTATTATTATTATCTCTAGGTGGAATTTTGATTGACAGGTTAATTGAAATGAAATTGACACGCAGTTCATTTGAGTTGCATCCACTAAATGTTATAGTGTTGTTTTGTTGGTTATTCAACCCCAATCGGCTTGAATTTTTAGTGTGATCTAGTTTTTTTGATATAACTTATTGATCGTGTGGAGACGATCATTCACCGACTATTTTCAATATTGACTTTTCAGTGTCTTAACTGTTGGACATTGGTCACAATGCAGTTGGTCACTTGCGATATAATGCACTTTTTTTGTATAGTTATTTAGTAGGATTACTTATAGTTCTTACCATTAATGTTATGCACTATATAATAAACTAATTAGTTGGTATTATCCATTGTACCGTTGAATGAAGTATTAAAACGTGCTCATCAATAAAATCGATTGGGTTTTCTTAATTTCATACTTCCACCTGAATTCTTACAATTAACCATTTTCCATCTCCATGCAGTCTAATCCAATCAAAACAATGAATATGTGCTTACTCAATTGTCCAAAAATACACGAGTAGTGCTCCAAAGACACCTATAATCAAATACTAGTAACCTACAAATATATTCTATTCTTGATGGCAATTTCGCACCTGTAAAGTAGAACGGAGCGAAATGTTACGCAATAAACTCTTTGTTTAGTTGGCAAATGGATATCTAACCTGTTTTACAAGTAACGTGAGTTGATAAGAGCCATTCGAGCCTCCTGAATTGTTGCAGGGTTTTTTGAGGTGGTCAGAAGACTCTACATTTTGTTAGCGTCTTCACCAAACAGAATTACTTCGTCTGCGTAATTTAATCCAATCAATGAATCTGTTGGTCTGAAATGGTCTTTTTAACAAGCAGATTTTTAGTACCTTTTTCTTAAATAAGCCTAAACAGTTGTCTATTTTTACCTATCACCTCTGTCTTTTCCAACTCTTTTGCTTTCATTACCCATCACTGCTCACGATCACTGCTTAAGTTCTTTATCATCTTGTGTTTAGTCTGCAGCCACTTCTCATCGTGTTCAGAGCCATACGGGCTGAGTTTCTGAGCATCTATCAGTAGAGTAGACGCCACTGAAATCCACTGATTGATTTCGCTTTCTGATATCACTGCTATTTCCATGGCTTTTAGGATGTCATTCCAAGCTCCTCCGGCCGGGTATCACTTATATCATTGATTAACTGGCCTTTTAGTTCGTAAAATGTTTTCTTGGCATTTTTATCGGTAAGTTGAACGCTCAGGGGTTTCCATGCTGTGGCTGATAAATGTGTGTTCGTACTAGAGCATGATCTGAGTCTAAGCTTATGCTCCAAACTTGGCATTAGTTTTCTGTCGAGCAACTCACTGATAGCTGTTGGCTATATGGTCTATTTGAATTCGATTGTGATCGCCATGTAGAAAGATTTTTTCCTCATACTTAAAGTTGGCACTTGCTAGAAATAGATAGTTATCTCAGTATATTTGTAACAGACGGTCGCCATTATCTGTTCACTGAGCTGCGACATCGTAAGATCCACCTAGATATGCCTTTTGGCTTAGTCCAGTCTGTCTACTTGTGCAATAAAATCATCATCCACTATAACTGCATCAGAGCGTTTAGCTTTTCAAAGGGAGTTGGAAAGCTTTTTATTACTTCCATCTGTTGTTTCATCTGAGCTGCAATCAATGGGAGTACAGGAAAAGACATCAAAGAGGAAACAGCGTGTCTTCCTGTCTTCCTGAGCGTTTACTGCCCCGTTTTGCACAAACGACTGTCTATTGGAATCCAGTCAACAAGGACAGGTTCTGCGTTTGACCTGAATGCTATACCCACATTAGTGAAACTACAGGAAGTAGCAGTGGAGTCTCTAGATACATGAAGGGTAAGTCTCACTAGTTATTTCTTTTGACGAGGCGAGGTTAGATGAATTTCCTTACTTGGATCCTGTATGTGCGTTTCGGAGACTCAGTGTATATCGATATCTCGATACTCTAAAGTTCTAGCTAAGGAAGCTTGTTGTCTTATCTGACACAAGGTTCGAACATTTAAAGCCCTAAATTGTGGTTTGAGGTGTGGTTTCTGGAGACTTGGGATAAAACTTCATGATCTCGGATCGTTAGCATTGGTGGCGTGTGATGATGACGATGTACACTGAAAGAGTCTTGTGGGTAGGATTGGTAAGATAATAGAGAAGAGTTTGGTTATTGATTATATGATGGTTGTGGATATGTCTTCCTGAGGAACCTGAAAAGGAAGCTGGGTTAGTGGTGTTCTTGGTGATCTGGAAGCGTGACGGTAGAGCCTAGAAGGCAACCGATGGAGTAAGCTGAAGTATGACATTTTTAGGTTAGATCTTTTTTAATTCCTTCTTTCCGTTGTGAGAAGGTAAAACCATAGCAGATGCTGGTTGTTCGAGATAAATGCCTTACTACTATCACACCCATCTACAGTCAGCAGCACCACCTCTTAGCTGTCCCTTAGGTTTCTGCCTTTAGTCTTACCGTTCTCCGGTTGACCTGGTCGACATAGTAGGACTTGAAGGAACATTTGTTCCAGCCAATATAACTCGGTTGGGTCATCACAATATGCAACCCCGACCACCATGTCAAGGTAGCAGCTATGCTTGATAGGGTCAGTATTGGTAATCATTACTCTTTTTACTACGAAACTAATTGATTAATTTGTTAATAGCTCCTTTATTTCATCTTTGCGAATAATCAGTTTAAGATATAATCCCGAAACCATTTTTGAACAGATAGTTTTTTGAATTTATCACGATTTACTAAACTAAACTGGTCAGTAACCTATGGTGAAGCTAAATGTTTCTGGTTGTGTTATGTTCTCCTAGTTGGATGCTTTAATCGTGAAACTTATCATCATATACAACATCATTAGCATCCACTTTACACCATAACTAAAAGCAGTAACTAGTTACACATTTACAAATAACTTTAAATTGTTTGGATCTTTTGTTTTCAAATTAGAAAATGTGGTATGAACAAATTCTCCTGGATTTAATAATTGCAATGAATGCTTATTTTGTGAGTGAAATTGGTCAAAGACAGAATATTCCACATGCAGTGTAAGTCGAAGCGATTAGATGTGTTAATTTAGAGTTTTTTTCAAGTTATTTTTCATCAAACATGCCATAAACGGGGGAATCGTTGGAAACTAAAGTGCATTCGATAACTAATTCTTCTAAATTCCATGATTTCTCAGTATTCTTCATCCACCACTCTATAAATCAACCCCAAAATCTTGATACTGATTTGTAGCCAAACTCAAATCAATCCACTTATTATCTTAATTGTCTTCTTGTATTCTGATGCTAGATTGCTACTTTTGTACTTGCCTGTATGTACTTCTCTACCTGCAATCGTATGAAAATAATATCTGTGGTTTTGTTTTTTCTCATCTAAGACTATAACAGTCTATGACTGAAGTGAAGTTAAAGTTCAATATTTTATTCTGGACATGATATGTTGTATGAGATCATTATCTATAAAATCTTTTATTCATAATTTGCTCCTGATTGACATAATGCATTTACAGCTGTTCATAATTTGTGTATAATTTGAAAACCAGAGTTATGTAAGATATTCTGTTCACTTAGAGAAAGGTATTACGTTTACATATATTTCGCTGTAGATTTCGGTTTAAATTTGTTTATGATCTTATTGCTCTGTCGTACAATTACAGAACTATAAATATATATCACTCACGAATTGCAAGTTTATAAACTGAGATGTGAGCCTCATTTCTTTTGTGTGGGGGGCTAGTGATGTTGTTACTCTTCTGTCCAAAATGTGATAGTTGCGACAGAGTTCAAACCTATGATCAATTGATTGAAAGTCTAGTACTTTAACTAACCATTAAGCTCCGTTGTGAAAAGCAAATCATACAGATATAAGAATTTCAAGTAGTGAACAGTAAATTAACTTTGTTTTTATTTGCTTACGGTGGGTTAGTCTTTTCGATTGAGCGGACTAGTTAGGATACTTAATAATTCTATTACTAATGATCTTTGAAGATTCACTATAAAAGACCTGTTTTGAGTGTTTTCATTATGCAGGAAGATTATTCCTATGCATTTTCTCGTTTTTTATTTGTTTACTGCTAAATATTGTCATTTTTTGAATACATACCAATGGAATGAAGATATGAGTCGTTTCTCGTGCCTACACGTAAACCGACAAAGCCCATGGAGTAAACAGGTTTATAGTTTTGTCTATTAGTCTCCAAAAAATTCTCATTTATTTTCGCTTCATTTTTCAAAATCCAATGACTTTACTATTTTTCTTTCTGAATATACGGCCTACATGGATCGTACCACACGACAAATACTTCTATGCATCCCAAAATTACAAGCTCACAGTAGTATAAATAGAAGTAGCAGCAGTTGTAGTAGATTTTGATAAACTAGACTGTATTCATTATGAGAGTACCACTGTCTATCATATAATGTGAGTCTAGATAACAGTACAATGCATGATGCTGGGCTAGAGTACACAGTTATGCTTAATTTATTTACGCTTTATGCTGCTGATAGTTCTGATTGTCTGCATATGTCAAATGTAATTCTGGAATTCACATTTTGTTTTTAAAGTGTAAGCGGTCCTAAGTTTCAATCTTATTTTAATGATGGTCACGTGATTCTTGTAGTAACCAGCTCAAAATACGTTGGCATTTTAACATAGTTAGTTGGCTGTGTGAAATAAATGAGCAGGTGGTCAAAACTGTAAACAAATTGTTTCATTCATAATAAAGTAAATTTGACTTAAAATTTCTATTAAAAGGGATACACACACTGGTTTATACACACTTACCCACCCACAAATGTATACTACTAGTCTAAATAAAAATTAATATAGTATTGTAGTTTTATCGATCGGTATTAAGCGCGCCATACTTTGTGATAACAACACTTCCAGTTTGACCAAGTTTGGTATTGATTAGCTTTTATTTCTAGTCAACATTTATCGCATATTCATGTTGATAATTCATCTTTATTCTCAATGTTATAAGTATTTATGTTGGACTACATCATGACTGTGCTAATGTGGTATGGCAACCTGAACTGATGTACTTACGTACGAAGTTCTGCGTTGTATCTGTCTGTCTATTACATCATGATGGTTAAACCTACGTTGGAGTATAACGTAGTGACTGACCGACTAGTTGTAGTCAAAGCTAAATAACACGCATCAACCCTGGAATATGTTAGATGCGTCACAAGTAACTCAAAGGTGTTGACTTAGACTGTAATACCAGATCACTCATGTTCGAATCCTATCTTGTAAGGTGGCAAATACGCCATCAAACCTAAAGACTGGGTTTAGTGTTGTTCCAATGACCGTCAACGGTTTAATAAAAACATCAGTTTTTATAAGTATTATTGTGCATATCATTCACCACAATGTTATAATTTCTCTTTGTTGATTTGTACTAATGAGTCAAAACCTTGGTCTAATATCTTCTGCTCTTAACTATCTGTTATTTGTTTCTCAACTAAGTTTCAGAACCGTGTTAAACTATTCAGTTTACTAACTTGAACACAAATTTGATCGGGAAAATATAGTTTACGCTCAAGATTGAACATTCAAAATATTGTTGCAACATTTTGCTAACAATTTGAATTTCGATGAATGAATGTACAGTTAATTTTCACACTAGTCTTCACTTTTTTTTATGCCTAAACAGATCACATGTTTGTAAACGATTTTAATTAGCTTCAATTTCTTTTCCTCTTCATTATTTCACTGGTTTTTGTGAGTGGTTAATGATTATATGACTATTGTTAATATGATTAATAATTTGTAAACTGTTGAATTATTTATAGCTTACAAGGTTACACGGAACATGCTCTTTGTTTTATTGAGCTTGTACCAAGGTTAGTGAATCAGGATTGTGACAAAGAATTGCACTTACGTGATCAAACTCTACTAGTGAGTTATAATTATTGATTGAAAAAATGATGATACATGTTTTTGTTTTTTACAAAAAGGGTGACACTATCGTCTTTTCAATTTATATCGCTTTTGTCAGTAGTCAGTCAGTTTTATGTATGTTTCGAACGATTTAGCAAGCCTTTTTAGTAGCTGGTGTCAACATTAATTTGTATATTCCTTTCTATTGAACTAAACATTTTATATGTCATTTAAGTAAATGTTTCTAGTTAGGAATATTGATTACTATAACTTGAAGCTCCGTTAAGTATTCTACCTTGTCTAAGAGATGAAAACAATCCACCTCAGACAATTAAACTAAATCGTGCACAGTCTTACAGGTTTCTGTAATTGTTTTTGATCTGCCTAATTTTTGTTTGTCAGAGTTGTTATTTGATGCTATAGCATCTGTTGGATTCAAACTATGTACTACTACTTCTACTATTATCTATATCAATCCACTTATTGAAAATAATACAGCGACTAAATGACTTACCGTGAATGTTCAGTTGCAATTTCTACTCATAAAGCCATCATAGAACATCAGTACGAAGTGACTTATGTAAGATAATTGGATTTGCGGTAAGCTTTCATCATATTCATTTTCTGTCATTGTGTTTTAATGACAAAGAAAACCTTGGGTTCGTTGTGTACAGTTGTTATATCAAAGCTTGTTTTAAATGAAGTCAGTCAAGCTAGTCAGTTTTTAGTCTCTATTTGGAATTTAATTTTATATTTCATTGTCAACCACTAACATCATTTTCAGTATTAAGAGTTTATGATGATATTTTATTTTTGTAAAATACTTCTATTATATCTTTTACTGTTTATTTAGTGTATTCGTTATTTAGTTGAACGTATGGTTGAGAGGCCATCCACAGTCGTTGAGGAATTTTTCGGTGAATTAAAGAAACATCATCTTCAAACTATCAAAACACTAATCTTGATGCCATCTGTCAGCCGGTATAGTTTAGCTGGTAAGTTTACATTTCATTCAGTTAATAAGCCAATCGTACGCTACGTATAATGTAGCACGTGTTTGATTCGCTTCAAGTTGTCACACCGTATCAGCACACAGAGATGCTAGAGTATTGCAAGTAGTAGCAATATCAGTAGTAATAGAAAAGATTAGGCATAAAAAATATATGAAATAATATAATAAAATATTTTTGGGGTGGTTAAAAAGCTTAACATCTAATACAGGATCAAGAGTGAAAGCTCCTGCTCAATTGTGAACGACTCCGGCTCATGTCACCCAAAGTCCCTGACGATTGCTTACGAAAATGGCGGTGATCCCAACCAGCTAGCCTACTCAAAAGTACACGGCTCAGTTCAGGAGTCAGTGATTTCAATAACTGATCTGTTGTACGCATCTACGTGTGGCTAAGTAATTGTAAAGGTATCGTGGAACACATTACCTACTTTCATGGTTACTGAAACATTATTTATGAGGTCCAGCTGTCAACGGAAATGATATCATGTTTGTTCAGTACTTATTGATGGTCGACTCTTACCGACCACGTTCCAGCGTAGCCACTAGTCTACGTTACTTGATATCGCTTCAACTATATTTTAATATTCGATATGATAGTAGTTACTACGCAGTATGTAAATCAGAACCTTCAAGGAAGTCAGCTGTATCTCGAATATCTAGTTAAAGGATACTAACTGTTAAACATAGTGGTGTCGATTGAAATCACACAGACAGCTTCAGTTCTCTTCAGATTCCAGACAATTTTTGATAATGAGCACCAGTTAACACAAAACATATTTTCAGCGCTTCCTTCTTTGCATTTTCAAAGACCGAACAGTATTGAAAAATTATCTTGGATGTATAAATAATCTACCAAATCTCCTAGTCAAATAGTAATTCGTAGTGTCTTTAGTGATAAACTTTGAAATAGATCTGTCGAAGTTTTAATCATCTTTGAAATGAATCAAGTCAGAAGCCACGATGTTTTCCAGTCGATTGGTAGTCTTCTGTACTGGTACCGAGATTTTGTCACACACCTGGCCATCACATCCAGACGGGATGAGTTTCCGAGCATCTATCAGTTCGGCAGATGCTAATGAGATCTACGGCTTCTCCCTAACTGTATGGTTTACCATACTAGCGGATATCACTGTTCTTTCCACAGCTTTTTTGGATATCGTTCCAAGCTGCCTTGGGGTGGGCATCACTTACTACATGGCTGCCTAACTGTTTTTCTAATTGTTCTAGGAATATATCCTTGGCTCTATCATCATTAAGTAGAGGTTTCCTTGCAATCTTTCCTACTACCAACAAGCCTCGAACAACTATGCGCTCGCACTAGAGCATGGTCTGAATCTAAACAAGTGCACTGGAGTGGGCGGCTATCTTCAATAGAGACTCTCCACCGATAGCTTATAGCGATGTTATCTAGTTGGGTCGTCTCTGGGGGTCACCAGGTCAGAAGATGTTTTTCCTTGTGATTAAAGTTGGTGTTTGCTCGAAATAGGCGGTTATCTGAACATAGTTGCAGCAGAGCCCAAGGGACAACTGCTTGAGGCCGGTCACGCACGGCCTATTTGTGAGAGGTTTTTAATGTATTAGCTCCTCTCTTTAATGGTCCCACCACCGGAGACGGAAATCCGTGAAGTAAGGTGAGGTGTGACATTTTCAGGGTCTACCTTTTCTAACTCTTCCTTCCTTGTGAGAAGGTAACATCGCTGCAGATGCTGGTCGTCCGAGGGAAACAACTTACTGCTGCCACACCTCTCTGCAGTCAGCAGTACGACTTCGCCCTCAGACCTTGAGTAGCTGTTTTTCGTTTGAGCGTTCTCCAATCGACCTGTCTGGCATGGTAGGAACTACAGGAACATGTGTTCCAGCCAATATGGCTCGGTTGGGTCATCAAGATAAGCAAGCCCGACCACCACGTCAAGGTAGCAGCTACGGTCGTGCATCTAATGTTAGATAATATAAACATTTTAAATTTTCGATTATACTTAAATATGATAATTAAAAATGATTCTTTTTATTTAAAATGTGATTGGAGTAGGAATACTGATTACTTTATGGTAGGAAACGGGTCAACATCAATACTATTGCACTCCGTAGGACAAGCGTCATAAGTAAATTTCATGCCATTTGAGCCGTAGTTATCTAACATATTTTTGTCTACAGATTTATAACATTATGGATAATGAAAAATATTTTTTGGCTTCTCTCCATAAATATGTACGCAGTTGTTTTACATTAAAAAACTGGTTCCATTCAGAGTGATGCAACTAGCAACAAGTTGTCAAAAATTTTAGCACAAACATAGAAATGCCTAACTTAATAATATTTGCACCAACAAATTGAATTGATTAAAACCGGAACGGCTAATCGTTACAATTTAATAGTCATAATTAGTTAGTTTTCTTACAATTGGTTCCTATCCCTAGACAAATTCAATTTTTTGTATCTCAATGGATTCGGAAGTTTTTAAAATTATGCTTATACAAAAACTAAATTTTACTAAAGTTGGATAGTAACTAGTAGTGTAATCCAGGACGAAAGATTTATCTTATTAATGTGATTCGTCAGCTGGATGTTCACACTTAAACTCAAGCCAAGTACGTTTTATTTTTAACGCCAATGTAATATAGCAAGTAGGAACAACGTGTGTCCCGGTTCCTGTTATTTGTCAGTGTCTAAATTTCTTAAAAACTTACCACTAAATGACAATTCCAGTGCTGTTTCCTCGGAATTAACACATATCAACAGAGATCAATCAATTACAGTTCTGAGTTAAACAATGAAGATATACCAGTCCTTACAAATTTGAACTTGATGCCTTATTTCGGATTTTATTAAATACAGATGCTGATATTAGTCGCTTAGACGATATTCGTGAACATGCTATGGGAGCATTGACTGCTTTCACATGTCCACTGTCCACAGTATGTATATCGAACGAACATTTCAAGGATACTAGTAACAATGTTTCTGGGAATGGAACAAAACCAGGGCATTACTCCATTCGAACACATGATGTAAGTTTCGTTTCTTCCTATTATTCTCTGTTATTTACCTTATTTTTGTCTTGCAGCTAGATTGGAAACGTTTTTATGCTTTCATATGTGAAGTATTTGAAGTGACCTATTATAACCATTCAGTTACTGGTGATAATTAATGTGCCATAAAGGTTTTTGAGAATGGCCTAGAAAATCGTTTACAGATATCTTTGTGTTTTTGTGTGTAATTTTCTCTGCATGATGTGATTTTGAGTTCACACTGACTAGCATTGGAAGTAGTTGAACTATTTCAATCCGAAACCACAACTATTGAAAGTTGGTGTGCTGATTGTAGGACTTAAGAATTGTTGATTACAAATCTTATATGAAATTCAATATGGATATTGTAGCGGTGTTTTAAGAAACTGTCTTATGATGTTTTATGTTATGTAATACAAGAGAGTATTGAACTAATGCTCGTAGTAATGTTTATCTTACAGACTAGGTCATCTTTATTCTGTTTGACTTACCTATTTGTGTCCAAATAATAATTTTAGTAATCTAGCTCAATAAATGAAGTGTTATTGCTAGTGGATAACAAATCCAGCCTAATAGATCTTAATGAATTTTATAAAGTTGTAACTTCTATTTATATGCATATAAATATCTATGTTTCATATGGTTGGTTGTTTTCCGACTACTCAACGAATGACCTTTGGTAAAAATCAATATAACGCAATTTACAAAACATATTATTACACTTTGCTTCTGCCTACTATTCTCTATTTAGTAGTATGAATCAACTTGTTGAAATTCCATTCGCTACTTTATCTTTTGATACACCGGCATTGTATAATGACTCTCTGGTTGAAATGTAAATAAACTGCATTAGTTTAACCGCACTATTATTTTCACTCAAAATATTAAAAATCATTGACGATTGGAGTATACAGTAGAAATGATCTTTAGAAATTGTGTACAAGCTGCTCAATAACTACTGTTTATATAGGGATGTTTTATACACTTGTATACTTGTTTTATATGGGATTTATAGTACTGGACTTTGAACCAATATTGACTATTATGTTTACTGAAAAAATGGAAAATCATTAAGGATTAAATCATATGGTAGAAACGATTTTTACCAATGGTAACTAAGGATTAAGTGATTTCAATGCAATGTAAACAGGTTTGATTCATAAATTATTTTTAATGAATATTTATAACAAAGTTAATAATAATAATAATTATGAAACGTGAAATATCTGCAAAAAAAACTGAATTGAAGGTGCTCTTGTAATCATGAACCTTGTGAACACATAGATAGATTTATCATTATTAAGGAAAACTGTCAGTTTATTAGAAACTTCATCAGATGCATTAAAAACTGACATAACTACAACATCATTTGTAGCTTACCATAATGAATGTCATATTTTTATCATTCCAAGAGATTTTAAATGCTTAGTTGGTCTTCACTGATAAAATTTCAAAAATATATTTATGATAATTTTATAGGCTGTGATAATATTTTTGTTCAGTTCTTATGATGTGAAAGGATTGTATATACGAAGAGATACTGCTATTTATACTTCGCCACTTTGATTTTCATCCCACTGTAGTAATCCGGTATGCCAACTTGAAATAATGAACATTTGTACCGGATTCTACTTTCTATATGATCAACTGACTGATTGATTACAGTTTCACACACTCGTTAACTGATATTAATTGTTGTTGAATTTACATAATCCATAGTAATGTCATGGATGTATACCTTTGAGGGATCCCTTACGAAATAATCGTTCAGTATTTCCTGGTCTTTAATAAGTACTTAACTAAGATCAGCTCTTGATATAAACAGCATCAGTTTATTTTTATTCATCATCTATATCAGAAACACTCATGATTCAACTGTAAAATTATCATTTACACATTTCTTTAAACCTACGTTAATTTTTTTAAAAATTGTTTACGCAAACCATATTGTGAATCCTATTCCGTTTATGTTTTTCATGGTACTTTTTAAACAATCAAGTATTCATTGCATAATAGTCAAATCGGAATAATTCGTGAATTCAATTAAATTTTTTATGATTTTTTTTATAATTTGTCCAGAGTGTACTAAATAATAAGGAGTTTATATTATTTTACCATAATCATAATTTTTTACCGAATTCAACGTTTTCATGGGAATTAAATGTTTTTAAACATTTGAAATCATCAACCAATCATTGTTAGACCACCATTAGAAACCTGGAAGCACTGGACGGTCGTTTCGTCCTGGTGTGGGACTCATCAGCAGTGCGCATCCTGCGAGGTGCAGGAGTCGTGGATGCGCACTGCTGATGAGTCCCACACCAGGATGAAACGACCGTCCAGTGCTTCCAGGTTTCTAATGGTGGTCTAACAATGATTGATTGATGATTTCAAATGTGTAAAAACACGAACCTCCAAAACTCTGCCTGAAAATTAAATGTTTATTAAAAACACAACTGAGAAGTTTTGTTATATCGATTTCGTTATTTAGTATTTTTAGTCACATTTCATTTCTCTTTCTTTCTTCGTCAGATTGCTATGTTTATTGCGAATCAACTCTGTGAACCGGAATTAGAAACTCATCTTCGTGTGTATATTTCTTACCTATGGATTAGCCGTTTGTGTATACACACAGCAAAAGTGAGTTGTCATTTTATTTGGACATTGTATGCATGATAGATTGTGTGTTCATCTTCATTAAATATAAAATTCTAACTGTTTGATGAATTGTAGTATATTAATCAGTCATCATTAGTGCAAAGCCTGGCAATGATGTGAATTCGTCAATGTTCCTAAAGCCTATTCGCACGATGAGAGAAAATCAAGAGGATAGATTCCAAAAGAATTCTAAATAGTCTATTAGCAATTAAAAGCAGAATAAATGAACACTTGAAATATAATTCGAAAAGACAATAGGAGAATATGCATGTGTGGATGCGATGTTTCACGATCAGTAGGAAGATAATGTGTGATTATGTAGTGTGTCGATTTCGACGTGTTCTTAATCTTCGGTAATTAGCTCGTCCTGACAATCGCTACTAACTAGCGTCTGACGGTTTTTAAATCAGAAGGTGAACTCGTAGTGTTGAATACGTTTATTTGGGACACACTACAAAGCGAAGCGGAGTAGCAGTGAATAAAACAAAAGCGACGAATGGTTGACAAGGTCAAATGACAAATGGAAGAAGTCACATGAGCTCATACAAACCAGTCATTAATAAGAACGAATGGTACTTATAAATTGTCGCAATAAAAATGGCTTGGTTAAATAAATTAATCGAAAGGGCTTACCAAATTAAATGTAAGCGAACTCAAATATATGTGGAAGCACTACAATTACATTTTGGTCATTATGAATGATTCTGAGTCATACCGCTCAAAGTTTCCAACTGCTGATCGTGGTTATTCTGCAAATCAGAACCGCATGTGACCTAAAGTTGCGTGCATAAAATGTTCCTTGGTTAGTGAATTAAATTCCATGAATACCAAGAGAGGTACAACTGTGCTTCCACAGATTTGTGGTTTATTTAAAAATATCAGTAGAGACAACTTACTTTTTCGTACAAATAATACTGTAACTTAAAAAGGCTTCGATATCCAATCGTTTTCCAAATGAGTTATTACATTATACTAGAACGAAAATATTGAATAACTTATCAAAATTCATTTAGTAATGAAAGAATCGTATGATTGAAATCAATACAGCGCTTTCCCATGGATCTTTCATAAACTAGATTGTGATCAGTTATTGATCATTACTTGCTTACACCAGTTACTCCTAACGGAGCATAGGGCGCCGATCAGCCCATTATTTTTTTCTGGTTGGCGTTTTTTAGTGATTTGGATTTATACAGGATATGGTCGCTAATGCCATGCCTAACCCTCCTCCTTTATCTGAGCTTGGGACCAGTTGTAACCTCTTAAGAGTTCCAGGTGGAGTTACTTATTGATCGTGAGGGCTGTTTATTATTTATTAACATGACTAACTTCTTTACAGTATAAGCCAAACTGAAACTTTGTTAAGGCCTTTGTTGGATAGCAGTATTATGATTACAGAGGAATCTAACTTTCACATATTCCGCCAGATTCGGATTCAGGTTGCCTGTTTTTACTGATATTCTGTTCAGATATTCAGAACACTAAGTGAGATATTTACCTTGTTTAACTGGTCACACCTGAAACTAGTTTTATTACTATTTTCTGACTTTTGTTTGACATCAATGAGGTAAGAATGCACAAAAAAAAGAACAAAATGTTTTTGTACTTAAGTAAAAAATAAACTCACGCCTACTAGTCTGATTTCTATTGCTTCTACTATCTGTAGTGAATTTCCATGTAGTACATTAAGAATGTCTACAGTCAGTTAACTGTAAATGTATTTGGCCTTTTAATCATAACATATGTTCCATTATGTCATGATTAATAATTCTATTCTGGCTTATCAAACTTATATTTCGCAACCTTTTGAATATTATTGTTACATACATTCGATTAACTCTCTGTGCTTGAGTGCTTGTATATATCTGTTCATGTTTTATAATCAGTGATTTCGGTAATTAGTTTTTATTCACTAAATGCATTTCGTATGTCAATGACTTTAGCCTGTGCTTTGTTCATTCACCACCTCTTACTGTCATTTATGTCGTAAATCGTAAAATTCTTTTTTACGTCCCTCACATTATCTTTATTTTATGCAAAACAGTATAAATATCAGAAGAAATTATGTAGTAAGGCGAATTTTAGTTGTCATCATTGGTATTTGCGAAATGTATCATGCCTCCTTTGAAATGAATGAAGAGTCTTAAATTTTCACGCTATTAGTGAGGATAGTATTCACTATGTTGATGATGATGATGATGAAGATGATAATAGTGACGTCGATGTTATCAGTCATTGTTGTATTCGTTTTTCTTTTGATGTATAATTTAATAAAATGTTTCATTTACAGTATTCAGCTATAAATAAATACTGGTCAACAATTTTGAAAAATATCAGTTGCTTCTTTTTCCTAGTCTAAGTTACGCATCTGATGTCGTGGTCAACCTATACTATCGTTCTAACTAAGTAATCCTTTTTTTTTAGCAGTAAACCACTTGACTGTAGAAATTAATCATAGAAAGTAGAATTTTATGTTAGATAATATTTATGAACCAGTTAAATTTACTATGTACAGTTCCGTTTATTTAATATTTTCATTTTCAATCTAATTTATACAACATTCTTTAATTGTAACTAAGTTTAATGATATTACAAACGATTATATCAAGATTTTTGAAATCTAATTCTAACTAAACTATACAGATGAATTAATTTACGAAGTAGGCTATTACAATGAAGTCAATTCTAGCGGGAAATCTAATTAGATTGGTCATTTACTATTATGAATGGCCAATGTTTTGATGGATAGTACTCGTTACTTTGAAGAGGATCGTGAATAGGTTATTTGGTTGAATTTAATTCAATGTAATCCAACTTATTAGTAGAATATGTTAATTTTAATGCTATTTATAATGTTTACATTATCGGGAAAGTGTATACAAACAACGCTTATTAGCTTAAACATTCAATTTCTTCTAACGTTAAGTGCTCTGTTTTCACATTCTAACAGTTAATTTAGTAATGCTATCCCTAAGCATAATTGTAAGTAGGAATTGCAACTACTGAATATGTTTTAAGTAGCCAACCGTATGTATGAATATTACCATGTATAAATATTTTGTTAAAATGTTTTTGTATATGAATATAAATTAGGTTGTCACCTAAAAGAATGATGTAAAAATCTCTCTCTAAATGTTTTGTACAAAGTGAACTGAACGAAAATAATTTATTGGTAATGGAATTTAAAATTTCAGACCACACACGAAATCAGCATCAACTGGACATTAATCATTTTTATATAATTGGGAACAAATCAAACAATTTATTGAATGACCTAAACTAGGAATACAACCAAAAGATTTACACTTCTCAGGAGTCCATATTTTTAAATAATAAAACTTAAAAGTATCTTCGAAGTTGAAGTTGTGACACTGTGTGTTCTGGAAGACTGTGAAGCTATAGCATTTGTACAAATATGTCGAGCTCACAGAGCTTGTCCCAGCCTTTGGAAAAATTAACTAATTCATTCTTCTCACATGTCTTTTGACCTTGTTTTAATATTTGCTTATATCCTTGATTGTTCCTATTTGAGTGTGCGTGTGTGAATTGCTCGTTTCGCTTGTCACATGTTTGGCCTATTTTCATCTAACTATGATTATTAAGGCATGCCTCCTCACATTGAGTTGGCTAACTCACCTTCTCCATTCAGCTTCGTTTTGCCTTTACGCTTTGTATTCTCATGCTTGTCTGCATGGACGATCGCATGAAATAAACTCATCCAACTGAATCCATATATGGTTTCGTATTACCTCCATCGCACAAACAGGGTTCGCCCAAGTATGAAATATGGAAACCGAAGGGGAAATTTATTTCATCGCCTACTCGATGATTTGTAAAAACTGGAGTCAAACTGTAGGGCTCTTCAGTGGTGTGCCTTACTTCGCATTCAACGCAGCCATTAGAAAGAAAACACTTATTGTAGTTGTTAAGTACATATTATTTTTCGATTCCTTTATACTTTTATAGCTAGAAAGAAATTAAGATTGTCCAATATTGCATCACTCATATCAAAACAACTAGTTTGTTTACATATATACATATAGAATTTATGCCATTAGGACATCTGTCAGTATTTCAATTTTTTATAATTACAACTTTAATATTATTTTTAAATTATCGGAAGTGAATATGTTTATTTGTATCATGTATTTAAATAATAATTATCATTCAAAACTTTTTCTACGTAAATTTTTAATTTCTGAAATGTTATTGACAGAAATATTCAAATGATAGGAAACTGGTTAGCATGTTTATGAGATTGGATTTCAAGTGTTTAGAAGAAAATACGCATCATTGAATGATGTGAAAATAGTTGAATTGAAATTTTTTTTGATAAACAATTATTAATATTGTTTATTTTCTCAACATATATGGTTTAAAACAATAAAGTAATGGCTTTTAATTAGTTCTCAAATAAATTTATCTGGTTTTTGCATTGAAATATCTTTAGTTACATAAGTTTTAGCTGTTTACTATACTGTGTAAATGGCAGCGTAGCTAGTTTTAAGCCCCTACTGAACTGTTCAAACTAGTCTTATCATTCGTTTGTTATAAAAATGTGAGAAGGAAGGTTTGAACTTACAATCGATTAAATGTAAGTTCAATCCTTTCCTCAGTTAGCCACCATTTTGTAGACTATTTAATCAGGATGTTGAAAAATGTTCACTACTACACTTTATCTAGTGTGGGCCTATATTTACTTTAGTACTATAGAGTATTTGTACAAGTTTTTGGATTTTATAAATTACATAATGAGCTGATTTTAAGTAAAGAACTATCGAACACTGGACATATGTTTTGTCTTATAAAATGATTTTATGGTTGCTTTACTAAGATCAGTCGATCATGTAAAGCATAGAATTCACTCATCTCCATAGATCTCCTATAGTGTTTATTGATCATGTACTAACTTCTGACTAGTTTCGAAAGGTTAATTCTTAGAGTTTTAATAAAAAAACCATTAAGTCCAACCATGTCATTTAATAAGCTTGTAAGATGGCAATCGCTAGATAGTTCACTGACTTATAATAGGTAAGAATTTCCGAAAATTTTTCGTCACGGTATAAAGTATGTGATATGATTTTGAAATAATCACATTTAATAAGCAGTTGTAATTCTTTGCAAATATTTCAATTCTGTTTCAGTATTCGATATACTTGTACAATATGTCACCCATTGTCTAGTCTCCTTGTTGTATCGATTGGACATGCTTTTCTTTAACTTTGGTTAGTACATACTGTCATGATTATGCTGTTTGTTAGTAAATGTTCAACACAATAATATTTGTAGTTAAAAAGGTTCCTTTTTTGTATTTCAGGTTTTTTATGATTGCATACAGGCTGATACTTTATTTGCTCACTATTGTATGAAAAAGTTTCCCGTATATTTGGAAGCAATGCTAGATTTATTACGTGGAACTGTGAGTAATTAATGGTATTTTCATCGTCCTATTTATTTCTTAATCACAAAATTAATCATAGTTGGATGTCATATATACTTGGAAAAAATCAATTCTGTAAATTATTCATTTTTCAATGAATTAAGACTTGGTTGCTAGACTTGATCCTCGTATTAAATTCATTCACGCTTTTCAACTAGAGATGTGGAGATTGTTGTTTATTAGTGAAATCATGAATCAATTATTTTTAGACCAACATTAGGAACCCAAAAGCAGTCAACGGCCGTTTCATCCTAGTATGGGACTCATCAGTAGTGCGCATCCACAACCCCTGTTATCCACAGGATTCGAAACCAAGACCATCGACCTTGCGCGCCAACAGCTTAACTTTGAACCACTGGGCCGACATCTAACTGACCAATCTAGGCATTTTTACACGATTTCACCCATTTATCTGTGGTAGTTACTGCCTATTGACGACAGAATTGAACTCCACCGATCATGTCTTCTCACTAGTACTCCGGGAATTTCCTCGCGATGTTAGTTACTAGTGATTTCAGTAATAAACCACAATATCCATCAATCTAACTGAAAAATCGTACAATATGCCCATTAGTGAGGTGAAGCGATGCTGACAACTTATTTTTAGTTGTTGGTTATCAACCTAAATCTCTCGAACTAGATTTGATGGTAATTAGGACGCATCAATTAAGCCCAGCTTTAGTTTTGAAGGTATTAATAGTCTTTGTCGAATGCAAATCATGTAACCTATCACCAGCGTTATTAGTAAGCTATTCGGATTGCAGTTAAAGTTTCACAAGACAGATTCGTAAACTGACCACCGAATGTTAACCGATATCATGGTTATCTAGTCCTTAATGTTAACTGCATTCTGTCAATCAATAACAATTTGACTTAGGTGGCTGTACTTGCATAAGTAAACCTAGCAGCTGTTGGTTTAAGTTGTCATACTTCATATCGACTCACATAAAGAATCAAATGATGGATAAGTTGATTAGTAGGACTAATACTAGTACTACGAGCGTTACCAGGCAGTTGGAACTGTCTACGAGAATGAGAATAGTGTATGGAACATGTAGAATAAGGTCATCTTCATGTTTTAGATGAAAATAATGTAATAATTGAAATTTGACTTTAAAATCGATTTAAAATCTTATGACTTTACAAACTGAAACTGTTGAGTACGATTACCCCACATGTTCTAAATATTAAACTAACTCATCAGTAAATGATCCAGTATAAATCTTGGTTTGAGGTTTCAAGTGTAGTTCTTTATTATATTAATCATTAAACTGATTATTCTAATGTGATCTTCTGCAAAGAAATCTATACTTTAAGCTTTAGAGAATAACCAGTGATGAAAATTGTAAAAAATACCATTGAAAATCTTCATTTCACTTTAGTCTGAAAAAGACCTATGATACTGGCATCGTTCTGTTGTGTTTTCTGGATTAATAGATTTCTCTGCTATCATAACATGTTCATGTTTTTCAGTGCACCCTAATTTGATTCGTTTTCCTGTATCCAAATATTAGTCTCTTTATCTTTTTATTTTGTTCAAATCTGATTTTCAGGTTTCAGTATCCAAATCTGATCGTGTAACATTAGTTGAATTGGTTATGCATTCATTGACTGCATTTATTATTCAGTTGGGCCATGTACCAGAAATGTAAGTTTTATATTTATGCATATTTTTTATTAGAGGCTCTCAGAATTTCGTTAGTTTTATGACACTAACTGGTTTATACTATGAGTATTTGAAAGAAAATGTGTTCATGTCTTATAATTGTAAAACGCTGTCTATTGTTAATATTCATCAAATTGATTTCTATTATAGACTGAATTCAGCTGGAATAGTAATCAAAATTAACAATCACTAGTTGGTTAGTTGTGTTGTTTTAGTTGAACACTTCAATTGCGCTCGCTCACGATCCCTTTTTGGAACTCAGCCCATGAACTTCAGTTCATGTTAGGAGTATGGTTCTATTGAACTACTGAGTGACATCCGCCCTGATGCCCGTACATGCCCGGTAACAATCTAATCCTTCCTATACCTCCTAATAACTATATTATCTCTTCAACCAACTCTTCCTTTGATGATTTGTCACCTCACACCCGCGAAGCAAACGGTTTGAGCTCACGAATCATTATTACTGGTCTCCTGAAACCCCGTAATAAACTACATATTGGAGCTTTTATTGTTCTAAAATTGTGTCGGATAGGGCAACAAGCGGTCGATGTATGTTGCGTCTCCGAAACGCGCATATGAGATTCGAGTAACATCATCAATTTGAATTTCACGTAGTGCAGATAGAGAAACAACATGGTTTACGCTTCGTGATTCTGGAAGCCCAGATGTGGCTTCCCGAGGCCTCTTCGGCGCAGTTATAGTATTAAGTTCCAGGGCAGAACTAGCTCTCTTAGACTGTATCCCAATACACAGTCGCTTATACGCTGCCCGACTAAACAGGACTATACGGACTCGGAAGGATAGGGAAACTTACCGTTGCCCCTTCGTCGTATCTGCCCATGCTCTTAATGACTGTAGTTCAGACGACATAAAAGACAAGTTCTACAGAAACCTCTCTAAACCTCTTCAAAATGTTAAGCGCTCTGATACAGTAATAATGGCTGGTGACTTCGAAGCTCAAGTAGGTAGACTGAGTAAAAAGGAAAGACACCTGGGTGGATCTTATGGTGTCGCGGCCGATCGAACAGATAATGGCAACCGTCTGCTGCAACTATGTTCAGATAACCGCCTATTTCTAGCAAACACCAACTTTAATCACAAGGAAAAACATCTTCTGACCTGGTGACCCCCAGAGACGACCCAATTAGATAACATCGCTATAAGCTATCGGTGAAGAGTCTCTATTGAAGATAGCCGCCCACTCCAGTGCACTTGTTTAGATTCAGACCATGCTCTAGTGCGAGCGCATAGTTGTTCGAGGCTTGTTGGTAGTAGGAAAGATTGCAAGGAAACCTCTACTTAATGATGATAGAGCCAAGGATATATTCCTAGAACAATTAGAAAAACAGTTAGGCAGCCATGTAGTAAGTGATGCCCACCCCAAGGCAGCTTGGAACGATATCCAAAAAAGCTGTGGAAAGAACAGTGATATCTGCTAGTACGGTAAACCATATAGTTAGGGAGAAGCCGTAGATCTCATTAGCATCTGCCGAACTGATAGGTGCTCGGAAACTCATCCCGTCTGTCTTTGAACATAGTGAATGACGGAGTAAGCTTAAGTGCAGGCTGATAAAAAGCCTACACAATCACCTTGAACAGTTGTGGTTGGCGAAAGCAAAAGAGATGGAAAAGGGCGTGGCGATAAGCAACAATAATCGATGTTTAGAGACCTCTGAATAACATGGCTCAAAACCGTTTACAATGGCGCAGGTGCATTTACTCTTTGTGTTCTATGAAATTCTATCCTTCTGAATTACTCATCACCTCTACCTTTGTCTTTCTAAACTTATCTCACTGAATCATACTTCTTGAATAACATCTTCGAAACCTAATCTCTGATTACTTCAAATACTTTTACTGCCTCTACTACTATTGGATTTGAATTGACAATTACATCTCTGTGCTAATGTGGTATGGTAACTTTAATTGATTTACTTAGGTACGTTGCTGTTGATTGATTGAAGGTTTATAGAACAGCAGCCAGATCTTTTCTTTGGGAAATAGAAGATTGGATCATTTTGTCAAGAAAGTTTGAATATATATCCTTATATATTTATTGTGTATGAAGAATAGATCATTGCATAGTTGGTTAATTTGCTGCAGTTGATATTATGCAATTATGAAAAATGATACTTATTATTTTGAGACCTGACTAGCTATAAAAGAATAAAATTCACTTTCTTCCATTGAAACTTATGCATATTATTCAAATTCTTTTCGAATGACCTTGTTATTCATGAGTATATTCATGCAACTTGAAATGACGTTCGTACGTATCAAGTTCTGCGTTGTGACTGACTGACTAACTGACTCATGGTGTAAGATCAGAAGGACAGCATTTGCTTCAAGTTTAATAATACTTAATCAGCTGTTGAAAATATTGTAGTCTGATCGGTTTTCAAACGTATAGTTCGCTGCCCAAAATTAAAACCTATCTATATTTTATTCATCAAACGATTAACTAATCTAGTAAATTTAACAGTTTTACTTTTCTTCTCCTCTAGAATATTACAGAATAAAGCACAGTTTTGTAAAATGCTCGTTGAATCACATGTTCCAAGTCATGCAGTAAGTCTATTTCATAGCTTTTAACATTTATTTAATTACTTGATCAAGAGTTAGAAGTTAATTTTCTTCCATAGTTTTATTTTCTCATCTTAAAAATGTCAACGCGATAAAGTTGTTACATAAAAAAAGTTAGTTCTATTCATTAATATTAATACTGAATAACAATTTAACTTTGAATTTTATTCATAGTTTAAATAATAATAAACTTAAACTTTTTTTTGAATTTTTCATCCATGACCAATGTAACCAGTTAGTTTTTGGAATCAAATATTATTCTGTGAATTTCATCCTAGGTTTTCTGTATGTTTTTCAGTCTTAGTTGACTTTTTTTTTACTGTATAACTTGTCATGACATTTCGTTATTTTTGTAAGTATCGAGTTGCCTATTTAATATTAAATAAGAACAAGAAAGTCCTACAAATACTTCTGCGTCTTGTTTCAGAAAAAGTATTTTAAGTTTCTTCAGTATGTTATTCGAGTTATTTTTTGAGTACGATGATTGATCTTTTTCTCCCTGCTTCCATTACTTCATGAACTACTGGTATGTATATATACTATTTCTATACTGTGTGGAACGTTGAAAGTTATCAATATGGTCAGTGATACATTTTTCATAGTCTATGTTAAAATTTCTATTACAGTTAATATTAATTCTCCTTCATTTCTCATCGAACTGATTTCCTTTGGTGTGTTCATTACAGTGTCTAGGAACTTGAATGAACGGATATTCTTGGCGGGTTAGGGTTAGGGTTAGGGTTAGGGTGGTTAACTAAAATCACTGTATATATTAAACTAAATTATACCGTAAGAGGGGTAAATATATAGATATATACATAGTACTTTATCCAATAACTATACATACGGTGATCACAAAAACTGTTTTACCGAATTCACGGAAACGTCTCTTCAGAGAACTTTTCTATTTATCCTAGTTTTTCGTCATGTATCTTTTTTAGTCCTTCAAGTTATCCTTACTTAACAAAGTGATCTTATTGAAATCATGAATCGATCATTGCTTGACTACCATTAAAAACCTGGAAACATTGGACGGCCGTTTCGTCCTAGTATGGGACTAATCAGCAGTGCACATCCATGATTCGAACCCAGAAACCTTCGGTATCGCTCGTAAACAATGATTGATTTATGATTTTGATGAAAAACAACAATCTCTATGACTATGTAATGTTAAAAATGTGATTTTAGATTTTCATCGTAGATATAAATTGATTTGCACTTAATTTACTTTGAAAATAGGCTGCAGCAGCTCTACTTTTATCTCAAATCTATGAATTGGAAGAGTATAAAATCCCAGCTAAACCGCATGATATAATACAGGCAATGTCATTAATTCTAGTTTCTCCGATAGCTCAAAGTCAGACTGCTCGTAGTCGATTATTGGCTGCTTTAAATGAATCCACACCAAGAGGTGTGACCAATTCAAAAGAGAAGACGAATGATTCACATGGTGAAACGGATCTGTTGATGACTTTTGGTTTACCACAAATTTTATGGCCAGGCAATTATGGTTGGCTTGATGGTTTATTTAATTTGGCTCAAATTATGTGTACACAGGTTAGTTAATTCTTAAATGTAGTTCAATGAATTCTATTAATATTTCATTCTGTTTAATATTATATATATATATATATATATATATATATATATATATATATATATGGAAAAGTATTGTGATGAAGCAATTTATAACAAAAAACATTGTCAGGAATAAAGATTTGCGACATGTCAGTCAGTCAGTTACAACGCAGAACTTCGTATATCAGTACATGAGTTCAGGTCGCTATACTATATTAGCACAGAAACGCAATTGTCAGTTCGAATTTCATGGTGGTAGAGATAGTAGACATATTAGCGGTGATGTAAAAGATTAGGATTTCGTGATATTATTCAAGAAATATGATTCACTGAGATAACTTTAGCAAGAAAAAAATAGTGATGATGAGAAATTCAAAAGATGAGAATATTTTTTACCTGAGTTTTTTTTATTGAAGTAAAACAAAAAGGTGTACTATTAGAAGTTTAAGTTAGCAAGTATGTTTAAGATTTTGATCATAATCTAACATCATCATCTATAATCTGAGAGTTGGAGTTACTTTTACTGGTTGCATAGCATTGTTGTCATAGGATAATAAATATTCAAATTTTTTCTTCATGTTTCTTCTCACCATGTGTTTGTCATTGCTTAGTGTCTAGACAGAGAAGTATTGGCTATTCGTTTTGTGAATTTACATAGCTTTTGATAAGTTACAAGCTGTCCGTCGTTGTATTTTTAATATTCGCATTTAAATCCAACAAGTTTTATCTGTCATTCGATTAGTTGACTCACGGTCATCCACATAGTTTAATTCGGCTTATAAAATTTTCTTTAGTTGCATAGCTTAAATACAACACATTACAATCAGTTGAGTAAACGGTTTACCTACATACAACAGTTTTATTAGAAGTGATAATTAATTTGAAACCATTCTATTTATGAGTGATTTTTACCTGTCAATCAATCATTAATTTGAACCTCTATTTATCTATTACTGATTACTTGCTAATGTAGAAATTCAGTAATCAATCTGAACTCTTTAAAGCAGCACAAATACTGTTTATACCCAGTTCAATATTATCGATGCTGTTAACTCATCGGCACCTGAACTAGTGATAGGGAGTGAAGTAGTCGAACGTGTAGACCGCTTCACTTATCTGGGGAGTCTCATCAGTGCCGATGGTCTGGTGACTGACGAAATCTCAGCTCGGATACAGAAGGCTCGATTGGCTTTTGCCAACCTGCGTCACTTATAGCGTAGGCGAGATATCCGTTGTGGTGGTTCGTTCTCTGTGGTGTAGGACTAGGTTGGAGGGAAGTTAGGGGCGGCCAAACCAAAACATGAAGTCATTGACTAGTGGACTTAGCCATGTCGGTGATTGTTGACTACCTGGTTGGGGTCCGCGAGATGATAATAATCGATGTTTAGAGACCCTGAATGACTTGGCTCAAAATCGTCCGCGATTGCGCTGGTGCATTTATTCTTTGTGTTCTCTCAAATCCTAATCTTCTGGGTTCTTCAGCGCCTCTACCTTTGTCTTTCTAAACTTTTCTCACTGAATCATACTTCTTGAATAATATCTTCTAATCCTAACCTCTCGGATTACTTCTAATACCTTTACTACCTCTTCTACTATTGGATTTGAATTGACGAGAACATCTCTGTGCTAATGCGGTATGGCAACATGAACTGATGTACTTACTTTCGAAGTTCTACGTTGCATCTGATTGGCTGACTGATTGCTGTTAACTGTAAAAGCAAGTAAATAAACAAAGAATGAAGAATAAAAGAAAAAAACAATGCATGTGTTCAATGATTGAATTAGATTTTTATTATTCTATGATAGATATTAGCTTGTTAAAATTTCATGTCAAGCAGTCTCACGGTTACATCAATTGTCGTAATATTGTTCAATTAGTTATTTTCTTCAGTAGCAGCGTCATTTTCTTTAAACAAAAGATAAATAATCTACCATCTTAATTGTTGATCGATTGTTTGGTTTATCAAACAGACGTGATAGAAGTAAATTTTTTTTTTGATTCAAATCATATGAATTTTCGACTTCTAAATTCCTTAGGATAAGTTGTACATAGTGAAGGGTAATTGAAATTACAAATTATTTTATTTGGTAAAGCAATTATATTTTTTTAATTGAAAACCCAAACTCAATCCATTTAAACAACTAATTAAATTATAATCTAGTTGTGAATATCTTGATAAGTAGTAATTTATGTGATTAATTCAATTAGATGAAAGTGTTCAATATAGTTTTAAAGAATCGTAGTTATTCAGAATCATTTTTTTTGTTAGATTCAATGAAGAGAAAAGAAAGTTAAGCGTTCTTATTAAAGAGAAGTTTATTTTGTAATATGAATTTTTCATTCAATAGAATTGTATATTGACATCAAATTATTATTATTATTATTATTCATATTGATTTCAAGGGAGGAAATATGATTTGGCAATTATTTCTGGAATTTCGTATACCTGAAAGAATTTGGCAATGTTTAGAACAAATATTTGATCTACATAAATCAACTAGTGGTAGTAGTAGTAGTTCATCATCGGATTCTGATCATGGTATTGATTTGGTGATGTTATCACCTAGAGGAATTTTATCAGCTTTGAATTTGGCTGCTACAATTTTCAGCAAGGTATTATGATTAATATATTCAATAATTTGTTAAATGTTCTCAACTGAAACACTAACCCAAAAAGTTAGAACTCAAAAAGCGAACTGATGTGACAATCTATCTATTCAAATGATATTCGTTTACTTTTCCCATTGCCGTTAAACCGTTTCGTTGACATTATTTTAAAGATAAAGATCTTATCGTTCTCTTTTTAAAGGAACTAATCTCGTACAAGCAAATTAATTTGATGACTTATAATACAAAGATGATGTGGTTCTGTTTGATTAACAACAATGTGAATATGTTTGGAATAAGCTTCATGATAGATATATACATCAACTCTTGAACTAGTGATGAAGAGTGATGTGTTTGAAAACATCAACTTTTTCACTTATTTCGAAAGTTTCATCAGTCTTAGTGAGTCTATGTCTCAGAAAATTTAGTCATATAGTCAGATATCGCACTAAACCATTCCCAACTCACGTTTTCTCGGTACATGATACTTACTAGTATTTGAGTTGAACGAAAGAAACAACCAATCATGAAGCTGTGATATCGTTCACACGATTATCATATCGAATGATTAGAGAAATTAGATGATGAATCTTGGATGTTTCACGTTGATTTTTATCCGAATAAAGTGACCTTACCTATCGATTTGTCTTAGCATGTATTTTCCTGATTGAATACCTACTATTCACTAATTCGTATTGAACTATGATACATAACTTGATCATCTTACTTTCAGACCTCCATGATTGCCTATGTGTATTTGCAAATGTCACTTGGATCTATGTCAAAAACAATGTTAACATGATATATATATATATATATATATATATATATATATATATATGATTTATGTGCAAGCAAAATAACTTCCTTAACAAATAGAATGGGAAATTCTGTCATTGAGATCTTTCTTAGGAAAAATGAGGAACGATTGACTTTTACCCATATGAATATAAATAATAAATAGATTTATTGAGTTAATTTATTCTTCTGCTTTAGGACAATTAATCATGTATCTTTCCTTCCTTTTAATTAATAACGAAAACAAGATGTATTCTTTTGTATATATCATAACAGAAAAAAAAAATAAATGATATGATGTTCGATTATGTATGATGTCATAGAAAAAAAAACGTATTTAACGGATGAATCTGGCTGTTCGTTTAGCATTCTTATTTATTCATCTTTATACTTCAATATTGTTGGGTACACATGTATTCCAGTGTTTTTATGTACATGTCTGTAGATGTATGAATTCTCATGGCGTATCAGAGAAATCTAAAATTCTTATAAAATGAATATATGTATTATAAATATGCTTATAATATCTAAAAGCATAGCTTAGACATGCGATCAGATGACGTCATATTTTAGATGAATCCTCATCTGCTTTGCTTACTGAGAATTCAATCTATTTTAATCAATAATGATATAGAAGCACTTCTTAATTGATATATTCTTGTTGAACTATTTCAGTGTTCAGATAGAAAAGCTTCTTTTGTTTAAAAGATAATAATCAAACTGTCAGGATGTTGCCTTGATCCACATTGTAGTTATATTATTTTTATATGTAAAATTGTTATTCTCATTTCTGTTACTGTGTTTATATTATTATTATTATTATTGTTATTATTATTATTATTATCGATGAGAATCTCTTTAATTGTTTTAATTTTTATTTGTTCAGAAGCCGAAATTATGCACTGAGATGTTATTATGTAATCAAAGTCAAATGTTATCTGTTCTAAAGCATTTTTTTACAATAAAATGCATTGAAGAACTACGTAAAAGGTTAGTGTTTTTAAAAAAGTCTTTTTGATTCATTGCAACTCATGATTATTCAAAAAAGAGCAAGGCTTACATTTTTTTAATGGTCCGTGAAATAGTTACTTTATAGTCATGTGATAGCTACACTAAATATGATTATCTGTTTTTTTTGGGGCAGTTGTTCGAGTTTGATACATGTGTATATACACGCTCATTGATAATTTCACTATCCACTGATACGTCTAATTAGTCTAGTGTATCAATTTGTTGAGTATGGTTTATTCTTGCGTTTTGTCATTTTAAGTTTTTAGATATAGATGAAACACATATTTAGATTTTGTGTTGTATTGTCATATTAATATCGTAGTCTAAATGTTTGTGACATCAAAGTCTCTTTAACTTGGTTTACACCGCTCATGAATTAGTTATTTCAAATACTTAACATACTGTAAATTTCTCATTATTTAAAATTTGAACTTGGAAAAAATTCGAGAATTTTGATAATAATAAAATCAGGCTGAAATCATTTACTCAATGATCAATGCAGGGAAAGAATTAACTAATGATTTTATTTGTGATTTGTTGAAATTCATTAAAAGTTCACTCAAACAGCTCAATTTCAAAACATATCACTATAAAAAAGTTCCCAATCAAAAACAGCAACAAATTGTTCTATGAATCCGTTATTAAATATCATAGTGATATCTGTTCCATAACAAATTATTCACTCACACAAAAAATATACTGGGAATAAATATTAACATACCAATTGAGATTAAATCAAACTGAGCCGATCATAAATGGTTCACTACAAAAACCTACAGAGATACCTATGTTTCTCATTTTTCCCACAAGTGGATTATGGGAATGTGTGCATAAACTATACAACCAAAAAAGGAACTGTTTATCACAATGTTCAAAGAAAAAAAAGAAAAAAGTATATTGAAACTAAGGATTAAAGATAGACATAACATATAAAAAAAGTAACAAATACCAACTTATTTAACAATTTTATACACAGTAGGATAAACAACGTGAATCTCATACCTCCGGAGAGTGAGCTCAGAAAAGTAAAGAGGATTCACAACGGTGCTTACAAAAGAAAAAGAACTAGATGTAAAGATAACAGTAAAAAAAAAGGAAAAAAATAAAATTAACACTTGGTACATGGATTACAGATTTTTATCCTCAAGAACAACTAAAAACTCTTTATGTTCAAAATAACTGAACAGTGACAGTTCCTTGGTTCTAAACAAAACAAGTCATAAAAAGCCTACCATAATTAGGCCACAAAAGATGCAAGAAGAACATAACCATGAAACACACACAAGGGACAAAAAAATAGACAACAAAAGAGACCTGATAAGAAGTGATGTGTGAAATGTGACACACAATTTTATCGGGTGAAACGTCTCCAGAAAAAAATCTGATAACACCAACTATTAAAAGAAATAATATCATAAAATAAATTATTTCTGTTGAATCAACCAAAAAACATAGTTAAGAACAAAGAACATACACAAAAAGTATAAAAAAAAAAAAAAAAAAAAAAAAAAAAAAAAAAAAAAAAAAAAAAAAAAAAAAAAAAAAAAAAAAAAAAAAAAAAAAAAAAAAAAAAAAAAAAAAATATGGCGTTTTAATTTGGTATCTGTTCTAACATTTTATCAACAAAAATATATGATATATCTAATATTGGTTATCAACTGAGCCGTCCATAAATGGTTCACTACAAAACCTACAGGTCCTTGTTTCCATTTTCCACGTGGTTATGGATGTGCACTGTGGCCAAATGGTAGGCTTTATACTAGAACCAAGGAACTGTTCACTGTTCAGTTATTGAACTAAGATTAGTGCATGATATAAACTGTAACATACCAATTATTTATTTTTCCTTTTACGTTATCTTTACTATGTAGATTACTTTTGAATTGACCAATTGTTTTTCGTAAATATGTCAAATATTTAGGTAAAATCTATTATCTTTGACATTCTATCAGCGCATAATAATATTTCTTTTCCTAAGATATTTTATAATTGTAATAGTTTAAGTGGTTTTGCATTTTCTTCTTATCGAAAACTTAAAAAAAAAAAAACTACTAACTAGTTCAAAAAAAACAAAAACTCAAAACAAGAAAAACCAATCCAGTTTGCCTAAATCTAGTAATATTTTATAAATATTATAGTAGGTTGTCATTTTTGATGCCATACCCGAAAAAAAAAAAGTTTATATGTTTTGGTTTTTCATTGACTGATGTTGATTACTTTGTTTTAGTGTATTAGAATTTCTGACTTCATAAATAAAATGTCGACATTTTTGTTGTGATAATATCATAGTTTTTCGGTCTGATGAATTTTCGGCTTTCGATAGTTTAAAAGTTCTTGATTTATTATTATGAGAAATGATTGTATCGTAGATTTGTTATTTTTAGTAAATAATTGATTACTATGAATAGGAAATTTTCTAATTTGTCATAAACTTGAAAGTGTTTCAATTGGTCAACGCAATAAACAATACAGAAGTAGATGAATTTCTAGTGATACAACAGTCCTTTGCCTTAGTAAATTTTCAAACAATAGTCACATGTTTTATCGATAATATCTTTGAGTTATTCTTAGAATGATTTACCTCTAACTGTATGCCATATCTTCTACACCTTTAAGGCCGTGAATAAATGCTTCTTGTCGAGTTATTATTTATGTAAATAACATTGTTATTTGTTGCTGAACACTCAAAACAAAGTATGTGATACCAAAACTCAGAGTTGAATTGTTTAATGACCAAATCGATTTGAGGATTTGAAATCAAACCCTTGTTTACAAATTACGAAGTAATAACTCGGTTTTCAAAAAGTTGGGTTGCGAGACCCATTTGATTGTTTGATTTGATTTTTGCCTACAGCGTCGTGGATGTGCTCTACTGAGGAGTCGCATACTAAAACAAAAGGCCATCCAGTGCTTCTAGGTTTTCAGTGGTGGTTTTAAATTGATCAGTGCATGATTTCAGCATAATCGTATGGTTTTTTCTCCTCAGGTAGGTCGATATCAAACTTATTTATCACGCTTACTCAACCACAGTGACTGATGCTCACCAGCGAAGCGAGACTTTTTTTGAACAGTAGTTTTCATAGTGAAAATAGAAATCATTAAATGGAAGTTATTGATTCCACAGTCTTGGAACCACCCATGCATATATTGCAACTTTTCAATATCACTTGTTCTTATAACCGATATTAATTGGAAGCTAGTTAACATAAAATCATCTGTAAGTTGAATGGAGTTGTACAGTGAATTGCTATTTTAAGTTTTAATGATTTCATCCTCTCTCTTCGTTTTTTGCATTTCACCGTATCATGTTTCCTTACGATGGTTTGAGGACCTAAATTTCCTGCAGAATTATTTTGTATAATATTTATCCTTTCGAGTAATGTAATGAGGCTGTTACTATTTAATGATATTAAATGTTAAGATATATGTAAGAAATCAATGCGGACAAAAAGTAACTTCTCATGCTTAAATTAAAACAATATTTCACCTCTCGTAATGAATAGGTTTTAAACATTAATCATTTTATGCTCAGCCGTTGTTTAGTTTCGTTGCTATCACTCAATTTTTCTATATGGATTCATGGAATAAAGATTGTAGTTCAGTGTTGGAATCAATCGGAAATAGTATCCATTCCTTTTTTATTCAAATTTTGTTCATTACAAATAATGGTAGGTGACTACTTTACCTTTTAAAATAAAAATATGAAACTTTGTGAACAGTAGAAGAATTTCAATACTTGACAAAATTGTAAACTAACTCTTTTTCACTGCCTCTAATAATTTTACCTTACGGTGCTGATTTTGTACTTGTTCATATTCATTGACAAGTTTACTAATTGCAATCCTTACACAAAATATTTAAAACGTGAGAAGCTTAAGGATTCTTTTTATGTCAATGAGTAACGTAGTTTAATTTTAAGATTATCAGTTTTTAAAAAACAAACAAAAATGATTGGTTCAGAGTTTGTTTTTTTTCATTTAAACTTTTCTTTTAACCTTAATCGTGAATGTTTCACACCGTAATGAATTGTTTTTGTGATCGAATCTTGTCTTCAATTGATATATTTAGTTTCCTCTTAATCAACATAATTCAAATTTTTACAGGATTTAGAAATCCTTCTCGTTTCTCTTTGTCTTTTTGTCAAAGTAAATGTGTGTGTCTGGTGTGGTGTGGTGTGGTGTGCGTGAATGAGTTCATAAGGTCAGATAGTTAAATGTATTGTTTTATTTTAAATGTACGTGACTGAAGTTCGTAATTTACTGATTACTAGTTTCAACTTTTATTCCAGATTAAGGAAAAAGTCACTCTCTAATATATTTAACTTCTTGTATCCTCATTTATCCGATTTCCTTTTAATATATATATAAATATACACTGGTTGCTTTTAAAATATGATTGATTAAACCGTGTCCATATCAAATCATTATGTCATAACATTTCATTTGTTTATAGAAAAATCAAATGTAAAGAGAGAAGATTGAAGATAAGTTTAATGAGACAACAAAAATCCAATAACTTACTTCTTTTTATTGACAGATCTAATGTCATATTATTGAAGGAGATAGAGAGAGCATAAAATAAATTTGTGTTAAGTATATGTTTACTTGATTACTTTTTATAGAACCTCTAGTTTACTAATTTAGTTATTTTTTTCCAAAATTATTCATCGACTTTGTGATTAAAAATTTAATTTTGCTGAATGTAAATGATTAATTTTTGCATAAAGAGCTGATTTGACCACTACTTGCATAAACTGAAGTGATTCTCAGTGAATCGATATTGCTGGTGTTGTTTTCAATTGATAAATATTTAGAAGAATCAGTTTTGTCAGTCAGTCAGTCAGTCAGTTGCAACGTCGAACTTCGTACGTATGTACATGAGTTCATGTTGCAATACCACATTAGCACAGAGACGCAAATGTCAAATCAAATCCGATAGTGATAAAGATAGTAGAGGTATTAATGGTAATGAAGAAGACT